CTGCTCCGCCGGGATGGAAGAGTGACATGGTGACTACATAGAAGAACTCACGATTACCAGGTTATTGGGAAAGTTAACAGGTTACAATTCAGGATACAGTTGTACTCTGAGGCCAGCTTCTTGGCTATATCTACAGGCAGGCCTCTTCCCGGACTTTAGCTTCTTGGCCTTGGTCCCCTGGGCTGTCCTGGCCTCTGACCCTGCTCAAACAAGTGTTGCATTGCTCCTTAGCATCCCCAATGTGTAGCGGTACCACACTCTGCCAGTAGGCGTTGGCCCAAAGTTGCTCAGCTTTCTAGCTCTGTGAGTCCCAAGCTTAGCTCTGTCAGATGCCTCATGGTAGTTGGCATCCGCTTTCTTATGCTGTGGGCCAGAAAGCCCACTGCTTCATGTCCTGCTGGTCTCCTGGTTCTGCTGCCTCTGCTGCTGCTGCTTCTCACTGTCTCTCCCCATCTTCAGGGCCACAGCTCTGTCTCCTGGATATAGGAGGTTCCCAGCACAGGGACTCACGCTCCATCCTAACTTGCCTTTCCCTCCGCCGAGAGTGCCTCTTTTCAAGCCTAGCAGGACGACAGACCTGGTCAGTCCCCTCTTTATGGTTCCACTCACCTCATCTGCATAGTCCCTGCCCCTTGGGCGGTCCATGCACCCAGTTTGTATTTTTAGTAAGCTCTCCAGTCCTCTGGAAACAAAGATGACAAAGCTTTGTCTCACATACTTTGTACTTGTTCTTAAGAGAGGCTGTTCCTTAGAGAAGGAAATCATACTTGGGAAGGTGGAACGTCAGTGAAAGAGAGGAAGACCCTCAACGGGTGGATTGACACAATGACTGCAGCAGTGGGCTTGAGTGTCAGAGATGGTAAGATGGCACAGGACAGGACAGGGCTCTGACGTGTTGTTTGTAGGGTCACTGAATCACACTTGAGAGCACCCAACAGTCTCTTTGCTAAGCCACTCATACCTTATTTGTGTACTACCGCTCTGTCATTTAGTGGCAGTTCTTGGTGGTTCATCAAAGCTGCTGGACACGAGCAGTGCTGTGTGCTCAGGAGGGGTGGGAGGGAGGACAGAGACTCACTCAGGATGGCCGCTGTCTGCAGAGAGCACTTTTCAGACCTAACTTGAGTGATGAACTCTTGTACTTCCTGCAGGTGCTGAAACAATTCAGAAAATGTGCATTGAACTTGACCTGCCTCTGCTCAGAGGGCCCATGGACGCCCCGGGCCTTTAGATCTGTTCATCAGCCCTTTTGTCGTCTTTTTTCCCCCTTTCTTTCTTGTTCTGTACTGTCAAGTCAGATCCAACTGGCACAGGAGGAGATTGCCCCTCCTTCTCCAGCAGAGCATCTGGTTCATCAACCCTTTCTATTGAAAAGAACAAAGCAAAATACGTAGCTTGTTTCAGATGAGAAAGGCTCTGTCAAGCCTGAGAGAATGATGTTTGTAAATAGCACTAGTATGGATGCCATTCTAAAATTTGTAAGTAGTAATATCAGGAAACTAAACTGCATGCAGTGACAACAGCAATATGGGGGAATAATCTTAAAAGGACTGATTGTTGTTAATACCGGAGAGTCAGAACTGACCCATAGGTGACCCTCAGGTGGGTTTTCAGGGTAGTTAATCGCATGGGAGGATTATCATTACATGGACGCTTTGGTAGCTCAGGGATTGTGCAGTCAACCCAAAGGCATGTAGTTCAAATCCACCAGCTGCTCCATGAGAGAAAGAGAGACAGTCTCCTCTCATGTGATTGACTGTCTCTGAAAACCTGCTGGAGGGTCTGCTCTGAGCTGGTTCTGACTCAACCTTACACAGCAACAAACACCATGAGACTAAGAAAACAGACTAGAGAAAAGCCGTCCATTGTCCTGTACACACGTTACTGTTCATTTCCCAGCTTTCTGTGTTGAAAACGTCATTTTCATTTACATTACGGTCAACACTTGTACACATCATCCTAGCTAAGTTAACTCACTTGTGTTTTCTCTAGCATACACACGTGCATTTTTTTCCCTTTCAGAACCATTTGGAAGTGAGTTATGTATATTATGACATTAGACTGCTAAATACCAAAGCACGTATTGCCGAAACTAGAAATGTCACATTAACACACGCAAGGAATTTCATCCTGATAGACTTAGTGCCATATGCATGCTTTGTCACAGTTCCTCACTTGCTCCCAGAATGTTCTTTCTCATTACCTATTTTTTTCCGCCCTGATTCAGGGCCAGTGCAGTATTGTAATTAGTATTGTAGATAGTTTTGTCTTTAGTTGCCTTTGTTCTAGGTAGTTCCCTGCTCTTTTTGTGTGTTTGCCTTCAAGAAAGCGGATCTGTCTCTCTTCTCTTGGAGAAGTAGAGGAAGGCCGTCAAGCACAGGGGTTGACACAGTGATTGCAGCAGTGGGCTGGAGCAGAGCAGGGTTGTGAGGATGGACAGCTCACCTGCTGTCCACAGGGCCGCTATGAGTTCCAGCTGCCTCACAGTGACGTTGTTGCCGGCAGGGCCGTGCGGGCCCTGGGCACTTGGATCCCGTCTGATGCTCAGCCCGTCCCTCTGCAGGGTTTGTGTTCAGTCCCGTAAGGTTGAGTCTTTGAGACCTTGGTGCTTTGTTCTCGCAGCATTCCACCGGGTGAGGGTCCTGCCCGAGTCGTTTGCCGCACTTGTGGCTTCACAACGATTTTTCTGATTCTGTTGTCCCTCCTGTGCGTGTTAGCCAGCACTTTCCTGTTGAACTCTGTGCGCCTTTCCTCGAGCGTCGGGGGGCCTGTACAGAGCCTGGCTATCTTCGTCCTTTCTCGTACTGAGGTTACCTTGGCCTTGACGCAGGGAGCCCTTCCAGGCTTGTTCCTGTAGAGATGACGTCTCCAGTCACCAAGCTCGCCCTTGCTTCCTGGTGAAGACTGCTTCAGGCTCACCTTTCCTGGTCCCAGAAATGTAATCAGTCATTTCTGCAGGAGCCCACTTCCCCTTCGGTAGGGAATGGTGGTGAGATGCCACCAGCTGGTGCCAAGTTCGTTCATCGATGCAGAAGTGCTATTGCTTCTGCACCTTTCCTGTGGGTAACACAAGGACAGGTAGTGTTTTTCATGAAGTCGGAGTGCTTTATTAAGGTTTCCAGAGACTGCTGACGTGCTCTAGAAACCCTTCAGGTCGCCGTCTGTTGAAAAGCTAGGCCTGCGTGTCTGTGAGCGGCATCACACTTCAGCTGTGTCACGTCTCCGCGGTCTTCTCTCCCACAGCCCTCTGAGGGGTTAGGGGTTTGTGTGCTCGCAGGACACGGAGCTCACGAACCTTGCCTCTCTCAGAAGACGGCCTGAAAACTGCATTTCTTTATTGACCTGTGGCCATCCAGGCCTCCCTGACCTGTGGTGACCCTCTGGGAGCCTCCAGGGTTTCTGGGGCCCGTGGGGGCCTTCTCTCCAGAGTGCTGGTGCTCTGTTGTGCAGCCAGCGGTCCATTCACTAGCAGTCATTTCCCATTCAGACCTTGATAGAACGGCTGCTTTGCCGAGGAACCCAGGAAGGTCCTGAGCGGCCCGGAGAAGCAGGGCTTTGTCTCTGCTCATGGCTGAGCCACCATGGGCAGGGCTCAGAGGGGAACATGACAGGTAACCTTGCATCGCCTCACTCACGCGTTAGAGGGGACGAAGCGGATCCCCCGCGGCAGATCCCCCCGCGCAGGCGCTCTTCAGCCCAGATACCTGAAACGCCATCTAGGGGGTTCCAGAGTGCGGTGGGCTGGCTGTGCGTATCATTGGAGTCTGCACATGGGGATCATTTTACAGGGAATGGAGAGGTTTGAGTGTTTCCCATTCAGAGCCAGCCGACTGTGTGGTTCCTGTCTAATGCTGACAACTCTCAGGGTTTTAAGGAATGTCAAGGATAGTGTGAAATGGTCCCATTCAGCCCTACCCTTCGTGTGACTTGGTTCCCCTCCCTTTCCTTGGATGCCCTCAGAGTCTTACCTTCTTGGTACTTCCGAGTGCTGGAATTGCCAAAAGCCAGTGGGCTTTCGTATTTAATGTAGTCCTACAGGAAAGTCGGTCCCGACAGTTCTCGGAGTCTGTATGACCTAAGCGGGTTTTCTGGAGCCCGCTGCTCGTGTGTTGGTCCTTCATGCCGAAGGGCTGTCGGAGCTTCCAGGGACGCTTACGTGGGGAGCGGCTTAAACTTCTTCAGTGTTTTTAATTAGAAAATACATTGCGAGCCACTGTGTAAGATTTATCTGTAATGGAATTCAGAATGTTTTTGCATGAGAGAGGACTAGATAAATACAGAAAAATGCGTTAAGATCTGTGATCAATTTTTGGTTACTTATCATGAAAGGTATAAATCTTTGTGACAGTGGTGTCTCTGGTGACTGCCCGCCATCTGTTGGAAGGGTGATTTCTGTTCCCTTGAGCTGCACGTTTGTGTAGGCCCGTCTGGACACTTGTTCTCTTGTCACCTGTGGTCTGGTTCTCCGTCATGGCCATGACTTCATCACAGTAGCTCTTGAGTCAGCGGCGTGTACTTTGGAGCAGAGCTGTGCTCCATCCCGTGTCGGCGGCCTGTTCTCAGTAGATTGTCAGGCCTTTCTCAGAGGCCCTCCGAGTGCATCAACTGCCCAGCTTCCCAGTCTGCAGCCGAGAGCTCCAAGTGTGTGTGTCATCCAGGGACTCCACTGTTAACACCAGGTGGAAACCTACTCCTGTGTTTCAGGATTGTTTAAACTATTCTTATTCCTTTTTTCATATAAACTTTAAGTAAAATATCGGTGATTGGGATTTTGATATAAATGACATTTTGTCAGATTGGAGAGAATTGATCTTCTAATCCATGAAACTGTATCTTAATTTTTTTTTCCCCCATCAAGGCTTGAGATGCAAGGACAAAGCTAGCTGTTACGCAGCATGTTGACGTGTATTAAGAGCTGGACTTATTCCCCAGAGAATACCATGCCTGTCATTGGGTCTGTGTTGACATCCTTTGTCTTTCTTTGACACACCAATGTGCAGGCTTACGAGAGGAGGTTTCCCACCTGTCCTTTGATCCCAATGTTCGTGGACAGCGACACTGTGAGTGAATTCAAGAGTGAAGACGGAGCCATCCACGTGATTGAGCGGCGCTGCAAACTGGACATAGATGCGCCCCGGCTCTTGAAGAAGGTAACGTCCCCAACAGGCGGATCTGGGCTTGCTGCTTCTGTCGTGTTTTGGGGGCCCTAACTTTTTTCTTTCTCTTTCTTTCTTTAAAGATTGCAGGAGTCGATTATGTTTATTTTATCCAGAAAAACTCGCTGAACTCTCGGGAACGTACTTTGCACATCGAGGCCTACAATGAGACGTTCTCTAACCGGGTCATCATTAATGAGCACTGCTGCTACACGGTGAGCTGGGCGCCTCCGCGGCAGGCGTGCATGCCGGCTCTGGCGTGCTGGCCACCGTGCCCGCAGGGCTCCGTCACACAGTGTCCCCCGGACGTGGGGGCGGGGGGTAGCGGGGGTGTGTGTGTATGTGTGTGTGTGTGTGTGTGTGTGGCAGGCACGTTGCGTTGTTGGTCTCCTCAGTACCTTCTGAGGCTGTGAGTTAGAGTTACTGTTTCTTTAGAATGCCACTTCTCTGGCCTGAGTCGGACACTTTAGAAAAATCTACTGACGGACTCGAGAGAATGATAGAGCAGAGCAGGAGCTGCGATCTGCCCGTCCTCCCTGCTCACTGCCCTCTTTCCAGATCTTTCTGTGACTAGATAGTTAGGCTGCTCTCACAGGTCCCTGTTGTGTTCTGAACCCCAAACCCAAACGCACTGCTCTGAGTCCGACCCACTGCTCTGAGTCTGTTCAGGCTCACACAGTGTGTACTGTATTGTGTGGGTTTTTATTATTTGTGTGTGTGTACCGTCAAATCAGATCTGACTGGTACAGGAGGAGATTGTTCCTCCTTCTCCAGCAGAGCATCTGGTAGATTTGAACCGTGCACCTCTAGGATTGCAGTACACCTTCTTGCCACTAGGCCACCAGAGCTCGCTGGTGTGTACTGTATTGTTACATACATGGGATTGTTGCACCCACACAAGTTACATGCATACAAGCAACTCCTCTCTTGCTCGTAATACTGGTAATACAGGGTTTGCACAGCTTGCAAAACGTCAGCTAATGTGCACATTGTTTGCATACAAAATGCAGCAGTGTCAGCACACAGTCCAAAGGGTCTAGTGCGTGTGTCCGGTCAGTCGATTCTCTGCGCTCAAAACCTCACAGGGTCTCATGTTCCCTGCAAAGAAATGCCCAGTGCTAACAATGACCCATAGAGCTTCCCTCGTCCTCACCGACACCCACCTGCTTACACTCACACGCTCTCTCACGCAGACATGCACATGCACACTGTCGTCACTCCCCTCACGTCATTGTGCACAGTCCACCTTGTTCTTCCTGGTCCTGCAGCTGCCTTTTCTACACGTGCCCCTCCTCCAACCACAGGGCACTTCCCTGGCCCTTCAGTCCACTCACACCCCCCTCTGCCCCTTACCTTCTGTCACCTGCTGACCTCGCAGCCCACCCTGTGAGCCCTGCTCTGCCTTTTCCGTTTCCCAGAGCCCCAGCCTCTGATACCTGACGAGCCACTTCCTGTGCTTGTGGCCGACGGCCTCCCTGTCTGGGCAGTCAGTGTAGCTCAGTGAGGCCTCTGCTGATTCGTAATGGAGGACGCGCCTGTCACACTCACACCAGGGAGTGAGCACGAAGCTCTCCTGTAGCCACTGTCAGAACACGCGGGGAGCCCTGGCCTCCTGGGGAAAGCTTTGAGCTGCTAACTGAAGAGTTGTGGGTTCAAACCCACCATCTGCTCCTCGGGAGAAGGATGCGGTAGTCTCCTTCTTGTGAAGATTTACAGCCTTGGAAGCCCCGTGGGCAGTCCTCTGTGCGTCAGGGCCTCTCTGAGTTTTAATTGACACAGCACAGTGAGGGGGTGAGAATATTTGGGGAGGTGTGTGTATTTCTTCATCTCCCATGTCCTGTTTGTCCGTGGTTTCATGATAACATCCTTGGTGAATTAGTGCCCTCCTCTGGTTGACGGGGGAGCAGAGCGGTGATCTCTGTCGCACGTCCAGTAAACGAGAATGCTTTCTCTTGTATCCACAGGTTCACCCTGAAAATGAAGACTGGACCTGTTTTGAACAGTCTGCAAGCTTAGATATTAAATCTTTCTTTGGTTTTGAAAGTACAGTAGAAAAAATTGCAATGAAACAGTATACCAGCAATATTAAAAAAGTGAGTCTACCTTGAGCTTGTCCGGGAAGGGGTGGATAGCAGTCCTCTGAGAGTGCCCAAGATAGCAGCCTTCCTGGAAGACTGGGACTGGTTGACCAGCAATTCCCAGCCATCACTTGGAGAACTGCTGTCCCAGGAGGAGGTGGTGGGCAGGTGCCGAGGGTGCTCCTACCTGTTAGAAGGGGTAAGAGCTGCTGGCCTCCCCAGAGGAAGTGAGGGTTGGGGTGAGGCAGCAACCCCAGCTCCCTCCTCAGATCTGCAGGTGGGAGCCCTGTGTCCTGAGGGATTTTCTGGGTGTCCCAGGCTCCCACACCTTGGGTGGTGTCACCCATAGAAGACTCCCTCTTCCTGCTCTTGCTCACGTTGGTGTAGGGTTGCTGTGGGGACATGGCTGACAGGCTGCGTGTTCTCTGTAAGGGCCGCTTCTCTCTTCACTGCTGGGCTTGGGTGACTTTACATCAAGACTTAGAGCGTACTGAGCACAGTGGACTGAAGTACAAGTGCTTGTTGTCCATCTGGGAAAATTCCTTCTCTTTAAATTACCAGTGTCCACGTTTTACTTATTTATTTAATGCAACGGCTTTGTTTCATGACATTAAAGACTTTCATCGTTTTAGATAACACTTCTAGACCTTTGAAAAAACAGAACTAAAATAAATAAAATTTGATTTGTTTTCTGTATTGATGTGTATTTTTAAAAGCCATTGGAGAACGAATAAGGCAGATGTTGCCCAGGTATTACCCTTGAGCTTGGCTTTGTTTTCAAGGGAAAGGAGATCATCGAATACTACCTCCGTCAGCTCGAGGAGGAAGGCATCACCTCTGTGCCTCGCTGGACCCCGCCCTCCCTGGAGCCCTCCTTTGAGACCTTGTCCTCCTGCAAGAAACAGGCATCGTCCCTGACCGTTGTCACTGCTGACACCACCGTGGCAGAAGGGCTGGGCAGTGAGGCCCTCAGCAATGCCACTGGGGCTCCTGAGCTGGTGGTGGGAACCCCTGAAGGTAGGTGTGGAAGGAACTGTCTTCTTAGAGCACGCCTTCATAAGTTGTTATTGTTGGGTGTGATGTGTCCCCCTCTCGGGTGGATGCGGCTGTGTCCAAGCGGAGTGCTGGCCCAGGTGGCTGCCAGTGGCTGGGTGTTTAGAAGTGATTCACACGGCCTTTCTTCTGAGGAACCTGCGGATGGACTTGAACCTCATCCTTCTGGTTAGCAATTGAGCAAGTTCATGATCTGTGCTAGTCAGGGACTCCAGCAGGGCTGCACCATGGTGACTGGCATTTTCCAGAGGGAAATGATGTCACCCGTTCTCTCTCAGCAGTGGTAATTCGATACCACCTCCCCAGCTGGGAAAGTGGTTCTCGAGACGGAAAAGTCCTAGCTCTGCCTTGTGGAGCACAGATCTGTGCAGCTGTTGCTCTCCACTCCTGATGACTCACGTGACGGAACTGCCCAGGCAGGGCTTCCAGGCAGGATCTTAGGGAGGCAGAGAGCCAGGTCTTCTGTGGAGCTCCTGGGTGGATATGAACACTTAACCGTGGCACCTCCAGGCTCTAACAGGTAAACTGCTGTTGCTGTGTGCTGTCGAGTCAGAATCGACTCGCAGCTGACCCTTCAGTGAGCTTTCAGAGACATTAAGTCATCTGGAAGGAAAAGGGCTGTGTCCTTTCTGGTTACTTTACGGTTCTTGGTTCCTTGTGGCGTTAGGTAAGGTCTAAGAGAAAATCTCTTATTTCTGACTTTGCTTCCAGCTTATGACACATTCCTTTTCTTTTCTCTGAAAATGAAGCAAGTTAATTTTAGTTCAAACGGCAGGAAGGGGAATGTCTGAGGTCCTTCTTATGGGGAGACCAGGAATGCTGGGGGCCTTCCCTAGTGAATGAACAGTAATAGGGGAGCTGCCTCCCGGGAGTTACAGCAGTGAACACCATGGGCACCAGGCCTCCTCTGGGGCCACGGTTGACATGCCATGGTCCGGACACAAAGGATTGCAGTGGAAATCTTCCTAGGGTGCTCTGGAAGAAAGGCTTGGCAATCTCCTTCTGAAAACCCACCGCTGTTTAGAACCCTCTAGGGTACAGTCACCGTAGGCCACATGTGGGCAACATTGTTTCAAGATTGTTTCCTGTGCAACATTGTCCTTGGCAGTGTATGAACATCTCCAGTCACCCAGGAATGGCTCTTGGAAATGCTTCAGATTCTCCTTTGATGACCTGAGTTAATTGAGCTGGCTTGGTAACCTGCCTGGGTCCACAGCAGGCCATGAGCCCAGGTGGTCGCTCTCAGCTCTGGTCTGCAGCCCCAGTGTTCTGCTGCCTTGTCTATCAGAACACGTTTGTGCACACACATGCCTGCAGCATGTACAAACCCATACAGACCATGTCTTCTAATGACAGGAGGAGCATGCCCACCATGGAAGGTTTAGAGTGTAAGAGACTCCCGCTACCTCAGTGTTCGCAAGGCTGGCTGTGTGTCATTCTCCCGTCCTTCCCGTCTGTCTCCCTCTCTGAACCTCTGATGGTTCACCCCAGCATTTGCAAGGCTGGCTGTGTGTCGTTCTCCCATCCTTCCCTAGCTTTCTCCCTCTCTGAACCTCTGATGGTTCACCCCAGCATTTGCAAGGCTGGCTGTGTGTCGTTCTCCCATCCTTCCCTAGCTTTCTCCCTCTCTGAACCTCTGATGGGTGGCAGGAATTTGAGCGGCTGTGGATACATCTTTCTTTTGGCCTCGTGACATTTTTTTTTTTTGCTGCATGGCATCTTTCTTTTCGTGTATGTACCATCAAATCAAATCTAACTGGCACAGGAGGAAATTGCCCTTTCTTCTCCAACAGAGAATCTGGTGGATTTGAACCACATACCTCTGGTGTTGCAGTTCAGCTCCTTGCCACTAGGCCACCAAAGCTCCCTCCTCTGCATGGCATCTTTCAGGCCTCATTCTCACAGGCTGGGGCAGTGGGTGATAGCTCAGTCCAGAATAGATGTCTGTCTCCTTGCCTCTAGAACCCCTTCCTAGGGCTTTGTTTTTTTTAAATAGAAATGTTTCTATTTTAATTAATCTTTCTTTTACTGTTGAGTGAAAGTTTGCAAAGCATGTTGGTTTTTATTCATTCTCTCTCTAAATGAAGATGGCTATTAACTGCCTGTTATATCTGACGTGAAGAGCGTTAGGGTCGGGGGAGAGAGCAGGCACTGACTCAGGTGACCCTGCTGTCTGGCCGGGATCTTCCTGTCAGAAACTCCGCGGGCTGAGTGCTGTCTCCGGTTGCGTGCACCTCCAGGAACCAGAACCACATAGTCACAGAACTTTGCTCTCACGCTCTGGGTTCTCGGTGACACCCTTAAACTTGGGCTGTCAATAACCCCGAGTGCCTTCTGTTCCAGACAAATTAGACGCAGACTACATCAAGCGGTATCTGGGTGACCTGACGCCCCTTCAGGAGAGCTGCCTCATCCGGCTTCGCCAGTGGCTCCAGGAGACCCACAAGGGCAAGGTGAGACTCACCCCTTGTGCAACAGCCCCTCGGCCTGAGGACGTGGGGTCCTTGCGTCCACAGCGACCGAGTGTGCAGGGCCTGGACCTGGGCATGCCGCCCACCTCAGAGGGCCCGTCGCTGCTGTGACGGCTCACCGGACGCTGCCCTGCAGAATAATTGGTTACAGGTTTTCTAGATTTTACCGAGGTTGGTTGAGGCTCAAGACATCTCAACAGTTTGGTGTCAAGGAACACAACCGCATTGTGCTCTCTGTTTATACATGTTCATTTTTAGAAGGTTTTCAGTTCACAGACCATTTATGCAGAGATTAGCAAGATTGGAGCTTTCATTTTGAGAGTTTTAGAGGGGGGCTGAATTTTTTACCTTAGAAGATTCCATTTCTGTGTAAAGACTTTCCTTAATGGGAAGAAGCTCAGTGGTTAAAGTACTCAGGGGCTAATTGAAAGGTTGGTGAACCCACTGGCCACCTCTCGGGAGAAAGATGTGCACCCTGCACCCATGAAGACTGTCCTCGGAAACTCCATGGACAGTGCTGCTGTCCTCCAGGGTTGCGGGGAGTCCAGACCGACCTGGGGGAACAGGTGGAGTTGATGTCCCGGGGGAGCGGTGGCTGGTGGTGAGCAGAGCTGGGCTGTGTGTCCAGTTCCAGGCATCATTCATTCATAGGAAGCTAGCGCTGCCTCCAGGCAGTCCACTCGGATTTGGATAGTTGTGGTTCGGAGGGACCAAATCCCTGAGGCCTGTGGTGTAACAGTGGGCCTGAAAGCTGCCTCTGTCCTGGCAGCTGCCCGTGCTGTGCCCTCCCGTGGGCAGATCCCCTGGCTGCCCTGTGCCACCCTGTGCTGCACGTGAGGAAACAGAGGCACAGTCTAGTGAGCGTGCACGTCGGCGGGAACTTAGGCCGTTTGGTTCCAGAGGCCACACTCTTAATGCCTGTGCGCGATGACCATGTGACAGCACGGCCACGTTTGTGGTCATGGTTTTGCGTGGACTGGTGAGCAGGGTTGTCCTCCCACCCTCCTGGTCCCTGTGGAGAGATGACATGCCAGTGACACGTGTGTGAGCCAGTGGCCGTCGAGCAGGCGCTGACTCTGAAGGGGCGTCCGGGTAGTCCTGGCTTGTTCTGTGTTGAGGGCGGCCAGCCTGCGGAGGGCCGGTGGTGGTCCTGGAGAGCTCCTGCGGGTTCCCGGTGCCGCCAGCACTGGCAGAAGCAGGGGCACCTTGTTGTTTGGTCAGGTTTTATTTCAGTGAGTGAGTGCTGAGAGAAGTGGGTGCTCGGTCCTCACAGACCCTCAGTGCCATGGTTTCTTTGTTCCTCTGAAGCGAATGTGCAGCGCCAGCAGGATTATTCAGACTATTTGTGCTGCTATCCTGAAGCATTGGGGAGATTTTGCTGGTAACAGCTAATTAAGTGCTTTTAAATAGCGGAATGCGCTCACTCTTGCTGAGTGGGAGTTTGGAAATCTGATTCCCTTAGCAACTTGGTCTTTTTGTCTCTTAGCAACTTTGCCATTGCTTTTCTCTGATGCAGCTGTAACTGAAGTACCACAAGGAGAGGGCTTTAACAAACAAAAATTGATTCTCCCAGAACGTCGGAGGTTAGTGCCCGAGGTTAGGGCAGCAGTTCTAGGGGAGATCACTCTCTTGGTCTCTGTTGGCTCGGGGCACGTAGCAGGCAGCCTTTGTCTCCTTGCCCGTCACGATCCCCCCTGGAGAGTGCCCTGTGCCTGGCATCGCTCTTCCTGGGACGAGATCTGCTTCCACCTCTTTGGTGTCAGGTCCTTCTCTCACCTCCCTTCTCTTTCCTCTCCTGTGAGAGAGTCACCTGATTGGCTGCTCATAGCAGCTCCGACCCTGATGTGATTGCATCATCATAGAGTTGGCAAACCACTGAGAATCGTGGCCCAGCTAAGTTACCACCTCAGCTGGGAGACAGGTTCGTCTGTGACAACGTGTCTCTCTTTTCTTAGATCCCAAAAGATGAGCACATCCTGCGGTTCCTGCGTGCCCGGGACTTCAATATTGACAAAGCCAGAGAGGTCATGTGTCAGTCTCTGACCTGGCGGAAGCAGCACCAGGTCGACTACATCCTGGACACCTGGAACCCCCCGCAGGTGCTTCAGGACTACTACGCCGGGGGCTGGCACCACCACGATAAAGGTAACTCATGCTCTTGACACTATCCTGGGCTGCCTGAGTGTCAGCCTGCACGGGTCAGTGACCACCTACCAGGAGAACAAGTGGTGGTCCCCCTTCCTGATTTAGAACAAGCCGCCTCCAATCTCTGCCACGTCTAAGGCAGCTGGAGTGAACGCCTCCACCCCATAAGGAAAGTCCTCCTGGGTAGCCCGTGTCTGTTCCTCCCCCGTGCACATTACCTGCTGGCCTTTGTGAGGAGACGCCCGCTGTGGCCTCCTGAACCCTGTCTGGTCTGGGGTGTGGAGGAGCGTGCTCCCTGCGGTGCATTGTGGGAGCAGGGCCGTTCTGTGACCGGCAAGCTTCAGAGCCTGCGATTCTGCAGCGCAGGGAGGGCTGGCCACTCTGGGGGAGCAGCAGAGTCCATCCAGGGCCCGTGTAGCTGGGATGAGGACCTGAGGACATTGTGTCCTGCACTGGATCCTCCCGTCACGGTGGGCGCCCTGTTTCCTGATTCTGGGCTTGACTGTGAGCAGATGGAGTGGGAAGGCTGGGACAGCTCCCCACCTCGGAACAGACCCTTTAAGGGCTAGACAGGGTTCCCATTCATCTTTTGATTTTCTCCAGATTCTCTGTAGCTTTATTAACTTTTACTGAGAGCAAGTAATATTTCTGTTTGTTCCACTTTGTGAGTCTTAGAAGATTGAAGCTTAATAGTGAGGCATTCACGGGTGGGTCTTGTGAAAAGTGTCAGCCTTGACTAAGATTTGGGGCACAGAACCTTTTGTCTTAAGTAGGAATAACTGAGAGCCAGCTTCTGGTGGGAGGTGTTGGGTCCTGCAGCGTACAGCAGAAAACAAGTCTCTGTGTGGTCCACGCACATTCTGTCTGCGACTCTTCTGAGCCCTGAGAGGCAGGAGTCGGGGTGCCCTGGATACTCCCTGGTCACAGGATCGTTTTCTGCTTGTGAAGCTGGTTGTGGTGTCGACTGTTTGTGACGAGCTAGGCTCCTCTTCCTCTGTCCACTAGACTTCCAGGTCATAAGGAAGTAGGTCCCGAGCTTACTGAAATTATGGCTAAAGACTTCCAGAAAGTTCTCATTTATGCTTGATCGTTAGTTATGAACTAAAAATCTTGCCATGAACCTTTTGGTAATTGAAGAAATGAACATGAGGCAAAATTCCGTTCATGGGAGAGTGTGGCTGATCTGCTGTTCCCTGCTTTGCAGAGAGCACTCACTAATCAGCCCCTTGGTGGTTGGAGTGATGGGGTTCCTCCCCATCCTGCCCCTCCCCTGGTCCCAGATCTCTTCCCAGACCCTGGCACCCCTCCCCCAGTGGAGGGCTGTGTGCTGCAGTCCTCTCGTCTTCATTGCACTTTGGGGGCAAGTGTGAGACACCCCCCCACAGGAGCCAGTTGCTGCGTCCTTCTCTGTAGGAGAGAGATTGATGCTCATCCAGAATCCTGAGAGCAAGCGCACCTCCTCCTGACCACTGCGAGGTCCCTGTAGCCCCCTTGCTAACCGTCCACTTCCTTTCTCCCCAAGATGGGCGGCCCCTCTACGTGCTCCGGCTGGGACAGATGGACACCAAGGGCTTGGTGCGCGCCCTGGGCGAGGAGGCGCTGCTGAGATACGTGAGTGTATCCTGCGGACATGGGGGGAGGACACAGGGATCGTGCAAGCTTGGGGCGGGCTGGGGGTGGCGCGCTCAGGACCACAGTGGAGCTTGATTGTTCTGTGGGAAGATGTCTCTGCTGAGAGAAACCCATGAACAGTCAAACGACAGGAAAGGACCAGAGGAATGTGTCTGACGGGATGTGCCGGTGCAGGGGGTTGGTGTTAGAGTGGCAGCCCGAGGTCGACAGCTTCCGTAACGGCCGCAGCCTGGACAGCTGTCCTTTGGGCTTCCCAAGGCTGTGACTCCCTACCCTTGGTAAGTTGTGTGAAAGCCAAACAGCCAGAAGACACAGACGTTCATAAATGCAGTGTATTAAAGATTGGGGACTACTTACATTGGCTTTGTTTAGAAAGGAAAATCTGTTTATTTACCTAGATGAGATCAGGCTATTCATGTATTTAAAAGACTGCAAAAGACCACACAACAGTTGTCACTTTTTTACAATGGAAGCTTCAGGAAACAAGGGGATATCGATCAGAACAACTGTTGGGGCTCCTTCTGAGTTGGGGCCTCCCTCCACACCCCCAGTCCAGCTCTGCCCCAGATCCAGGGATGTCACCTCCTGTCAGAGCTCGGCCTTGACTTGAGCTCAGTGTCTTGTCTGGCCAGTCACCGTCTCCCATGCCATCTCTGCAGCGTCGGGGCAGTTCCTTTCCTTCTTTAACTGAAGACATGTAAAGCTGAAAGGCACGGAGACCTGGTGGCCTACTAGCAGGGGGCTAAAGTGCAATCCCAAAGGCACATGGTTCAAATCTACCAGCTGCTCCATGGGAGAAGGTTGGGCGGTTTCCTCCCATGTGATTACTGCCTCTGAAAACCCGCCGGAGGGTCAGCTATGGGTCAGTTTTGACCTGATGGTATAACACAACAACAACACAGCTGAAAGGCACATCTGACTTCCACTGAGGACACTGTTTGTTAGTTGTCCCCTGCCATGTCTGTGCATACGTGTTACACGTGTGTCAGTGATGCAGACAGGTGGGGACAGGAAGGGCTGGCTGCCCGCGGCCTCTCGCTGTGCGTTGAGTGTGTGCAGCCTGCCCTTCTCTGGTGGCAGCACACGCTAGTGTTCCCACGCTCAGCACACACTTCGGTTCTGTTCCAAACGTTTGTTCTGAAGACAAAGCCAAAGAGCCTGTCTCCCCCGCTCATCTGGCACCTTCTCTGAGCTGTTACCATACTTGGGGGATTTCCTGTGCTGAGGATGAGGGTGTTTGTTTCCCTTTGAGAGAAAGCACTCTGGCGGTGATGCACTCTGTGTACGTGACTGTGGCAGGAGATTGGAATAACGTTTGCTGGGGCTGCGTGCCCGCCTGTGATGTTCTGTGTGGAGGTCACTCGACATCACAGCTCCGTACAGGGATGCTCTCTCTCAGACTGACCCTGGTCATTTCTGGCCTCTCTCTCTCAGGTTCTGTCCATCAACGAGGAAGGGCTGCGACGGTGTGAGGAAAACACAAAGGTCTTCGGCCGGCCTATCAGGTAGATGCGGCATTTTTCTTTTCTTCCAGCTCATTTGAAAATACGAGTGAAGTGTGTCTGGTTGATTTTGGGAACCCAAGTCAGTAAGTTTGTCTTCCGTCATGTTCCAGCTGGCAGCATGATCCTGAGGACAGAGCCAGGTTCTGGTGTTTCTCCCTCCCTGGAACCCAGGGAGCAGCTCTAATGCAGTGTGACAGCGGTCACGTGCAGGCACACGTGCGTGTGCACACACCCCGACTCCCGGGTCTGCTTGATGCGCACAGTCCTCGAGGCTCAGGGCTGCAGCACTGTTTCCGGCATGCTCGCCACACACACACACACGCACACCACCTCTCTGGTCTGGGACACACACACACACACACCCCACCTCTCTGGTCTGGGACACACACACACACACACACA